CCCCAAAACCCCAAAACCCCAAAACCCCAAAACCCCAAAACCCCAAAACCCCAAAACCCCTCAAATTTGTCCAAATATTGGAATTTATTAGTTTAATTTTCTTTTGAGCTTCTCAATATTGTTCTTCAGACTTGCTATTTTATACGAATAGGCTTTGAAAGATAGAGTATCGTTCCTGTACTAAAGTTTAGAGATCTTAGCTTAAAAAGGTAAGAAGTCTTTACTTACTGTGTCTCCCCGACTTGATTACTATGCTGGTTAGCAGCAAGATGCTTGATCTTTGCTTCTATTTCTCTCTTTCTTTGAATCAGAAGTCCGCATTTTTGCTCAATTTCTTTCTCTGAAGAATCTAGCACAGTCAGTTTCTTCTGAAGTTTGCTGTAATTTAGTTGACAATATGCAAGATGAAGAATTTAAATAGCTTAAATATATAACTTTCTGTATTCTAGAGGATATCTGAATGACTCAATAAAGAATTGTGGCTGTACTTACTCAATTTCTTGCAAAGAAGCAATTTTGGATTTATCCTGAAGCTCTCTCTGCTCTCTCCATTTCTTTTTCATCATCTCTTTTTCAACTAAGGACACAAGATCTTCAGTCTCTTCAGATGGAGGAGCCTCTGGCTGAGCGATAGATGCCTCCTCTTCTTTTTGAGAGACAAGTTGTTGAAGTTTCTGTAAGCGAACTTGATGTCTATCTAATAGTCAATAAACTTACCTTCTTAAGTCAATTCTTTGATCAATAAGACTCTTGTTGTTCTGAGGTTCTTTATCCTCATCAGTTTGTATTTTGAAATCTTTGAGGTTATCAAGGATTATCTGGTTGCACTTTTTGACATGCTCTTCTATTGAGATTCCTCCACCCTTGATACAATGATTATAGCCTAGACTTGACTAAAAATGGAGTACCTTCTACAAGTTTACCAAGAAATTTGATAGACTCTTCCAAGATTTCGTTTTCTTTATCCCTCTTCTCTAGAGCTTTTTCTAGCCTGATTTTCTCTGTTCAGAGCAATTGGAATTTATCTCTTGGTCTCATACACTAAAAAGTATATAAGAGGATGCATACCTCGTAATCTTCTTCCTCAGAGTCTACGTTAAGAAAGGGATCGGGTGAATAATCTTGCTCGTAAGTTTCTATATCCTGAGTCTCTCTGTTGTGAAGTCTGACTTCTATGAAGATATTTGTGTGAAATCTTACCATTTTCATCTTCTTCGTCATATCTTTCATATTCTATATGTCTGAGCTCAGGATTTGACTCAGACTCGGACTCAATTTGTTCATTGTTGTAGTATTCTAAAATAAGATTAATTCAAAGATTATTGTAGGCCTACCTCCTTCTCCTGATATTTCAGCTTCATCCATTTTTCAATTATATATTTCTTATTAGGGGTTTTGGGGTTTTGGGGTTTTGGGGTTTTGGGG